GGTAATACAGAAATAACATGTCAAATTTTGCACCTGATTAGTCCGGAAGGGATTACCATTCACCACAACAACGCCAGACCACATGTCTATCAACGGGCACTGCAAATTGTGGAGTATCCGTGTGAGAACTGCACCAGCGACCTCTGAATCCTCCTGACCTTACCCCTTCCCACCTCCATCCATTCCGTTTCCTGCAAAATGATTAGATTTGATGGAAGCAGTGAAAACCCAAGTCATGCCTCTCTGAGAAGCGAAACCACGCAGTTTCTACAAAGAGGCAATTCAATGGCTTGCAAAACGATCAGAGACGGTTGAGAAAATGAAGAAGAGTAGAGATCCCATAAGTAAACGCCACTTTTCATTAGATTATGCCATGTTTAGCTTGATTTTGAAATAGACGTATACTTTTACAGTTACTCAAACTAAAAAGCCTTTTAGCTGCTGCTAATATTTATCGTGTCAGTCTTAAATTTGGACGCGGTAGTCTGCAATCATGCTAACTTCTGCAGCGCTGGAGAGAGGTGCTAGGCCGAGTGGTGCCTTCCAGATGGATTGCAGATCCCCACAACAACCCCTCCTGCTCTGATTAACCGGCACAGCCAATTATCGCGCTCTGATCGGCACGTGCGCAATGTGCTAGCGATTACCCCATCCAGCCCCCCTCCCAAGTGGCTACATCTGTTGGCAGTAATTGGCGCCACTAATTAAGCGACCTGCCGCACTTGCACGCAGAGGGAGAGGCAGGCAGGGGACAGGGCGTCACCCCTTTTCTCACTTCAGTGCCCATCGCAAAGTGGGCGAACACAGCGTTCCCAGGTACCGATGTTGATCGTGAACGCGTAACCCGTCATTTCAAACCTCCAGCACGTTCGACGGAATATGCCAACAGTTTCATTTCAAAGTGATGCCTTTCGTGCTGGAGAGAAGATTGTTAGCTCAGGGGTTAACTTCGATGCGGGCGGTCTGAAGTCGGCGGCGGCGGCGGCGGCGGTGGTGGTGGTGGTGGTGGTGGTGGTGGTGGTGGTGGTGGTGATGTGGTAACAAGAGACAGACTTTTATAGTTGTGCACACGTGAGAAACCCCTCCATGAGAACGTGCCAATAATTCATCAAATCTGATCGTAATCGCATATCTAACTGGTCAGCTTTTGGTGTGTAGCATGAGTTAACACTGACAAACGGCCACCATCTCTGAGATCTGTAAATTTTAAAAAAAACGTGCTTTTACAACAAATAAACTACTGTTTAGGTGGTATCGCACGGTGCTTCGCACACTAATTAAACTAGTTCGAATTGGCTCTCGGTATGGCCGCCACTTTAGTAAAACAACGGCAGCGGATAATTAAAAGAGAGCAAGTGTTGCACACTCCCCTTGAATCAAAGTTCCTGGTAGTCGACGATGAAAAGAAGAGGACCGTCACCAGGAATAAATGGTAGCTTTTGAAATCCATACCGAGTTCTTGATTCCTTAAATGGTAGAAATTTTCCTTCGTTCTAGAATCTGACATTAGAAATTTACATGGGTGGGCGTTGGAACTGGTCTCTTATTCAAAAATGCCGCCATTCATGCTGCATGGTAACCGCACTGAGTACTTACTCGACTTATAGAGGGACTTACACGCTTGGAATTAGCTGGCCCTCAAACACCACCAACACACTATTTTTGCTCTTCCCACGCACAGACGCTCCTTCGAGTTTAAAGGCATGAACTGTTAGACATTAATCTGCCATTATATCGTCAGTGTTCCATGCGTGCACATTTCACTGACAATCTGCTTGCACGCACACTGGGCTGGCAATTAATTCACTAGACGTGGAACACGCAATATCAGCACGTTCTTCCATGCGTCTTAATAAGTCATCGAAGCGTGGCTTCTAGCCCTGCCGATGTGCTTTGCTAGCAACCGTAGGCCAATTGAGCAGCAGCTGAAGTGACAATCTCTTCACGAACGCCTCGAGCATCATATACGAATTTGGGTCAAGAGGTGGTACTCACATCTTCAGTGTGGAACTGTCTCTTCAATCTCTTGGTGAGTAGATTCGAAAACTGAGCTTTGTGGGTGAACCAGAGCATTTGAACAACGGCGGAAGAAGAGAAATTCTCCTCGGTCTGTTCGATAGTAACTGTGGCTTTTTCAAAAACTCTACTTTTTTTATCTTGTTCCCTTCTTTCTATTTCAATAAAAGCAGCTGATTATAATCAACTTTACAGATGCAAAGTGCAATCTACTTTTCTAATCTACCTCCCCGTTGTTTTACTGCTAACGTCACCAAACTAAACGCCAGTTTAAATTTTTAAAATCACCTAACACGAAACCAATGACCTTGCTCTTTAACCTAAGCCCTAGTTGCACACATGCTATAAACCAACACATATCGTTTAGGACAACGTGCTTTGCTCTTCTCCGTAGTTGGCTGTGTTTGAGGTTCTGAGCTGCACTTTGGTTTTCATAAAATCGATGTCGGTGCGTTTTTCTAAGCAGGGAAATCAATGAAAGTATTGTTTACAACTGCTTCAGCAAGATTTTCGCAGTTGGCGCGCTGACCTTGCTACACAAAATCGATTTTTTGATTGGTGAAAACGTCACCAATAAAAGCACGCAATTTCATCGAATGAGTTCTGTTCAAGAGATGCTAGATCAGAAGTTGCACATAACTTTAATTCCTAATCTGCTCCTCTGATTTCCAAAATTTGCGGAAAATTTTGTTTTTAATTAGCCGTGTCCAGTGGACGTGACATTCTCGTTCTTAATCCGGCCTTTTGTTGTGAGTTAATTGCTTTTGTGCGGGTGAAAGAACCGTTCGATAATTAGCGTTCAAGAATTTAAACAAACCAGAGTTTACTTAAGCAGGCTGAGGGCTTCCCACTTCACATTAAATCACGATTTAAAAAAGGAATTTTGTTACACAATGTCCAGCTAATCCAGACATTCGTAGCATTTTTGCCTTATGGCTACCTATAAGATTTGGTTTTTTGAAATTCTACTAAATTTCCAACCACAAGAAAGAGTTTAAAAAATTGCCAGTGTTTAAAAAGGAGTTAAATTTGGTAGGTTAAATTCTAAACCTGACAAGCTGATTTCTGTAAATTTTCAAAAAAATTGATGAAGTCATTAGTTCGAAATGTTGCGAATGTTGAAGCAAATTTTTAATGAGTTTACCACTTGTGGACTGCTTGAAATCGAATCGGAAGTTGAGTTTCTGACAAATTAGATGTAAATTATCGTGAGTAGCAGTCACCGGAACTACACAGATTCACTCCCAAGAAGCATTTGGAAGCAGACTAGTCTTTCGACATAACACCAGACAATCTAACCACCCGGTGTCATGTCGGGCGTGCGTGGAGGTCAGTTTTATACCACGTCCAGTCCGTCCTGTTGGTAGAGTTCTGTAGTGATGTGCTCTCACTGGGAGATACAAGTGTGATGGAACGCCATCATGTTCATTTGCCTCATTTTCGTCAAGTATATGCTGCTCAATTATTTCCAGTTGGTCTTCACCTATTGCGTTTCTGTCGAAGAACATTGAGTCGAACGGTCGGTTCTATGAGATTGTGAAGGACACATTCACTCGAAGTCGTGGCATGTCAATTCGCGTCGCTCCAAATGCGAATGATTTGCCCATTCAATTTGTCATTGCTCCACCAATCATTTAGCACATTGCCTTCTTATACGCTTTTAAATTTTGCAAAAACTAATACTCGGAGGAGATTGGTCGCTTGACGATCCATACTTGACAGACTACTGACAGTCCAGATCCGTTCTTCCAACACATGCAACCTTTTTTCTGAAATGTCTTCTGCTGATTCCACATCTTATCAACTGTTGACGCCGTTTTATGCATTAATGAATAAGTGTAGGTTTTGCTACAAAACGTCTTCTAAATAGATTTGGTCGGTGCCGTGTAAAAATTTACGGATACACCACCAAAATTTAAAATTTACGCAGATATTTACCACTGTATTTGGTGATGAGAATCAAGATCGCATTTCATTGGCTCATGCACCTGTGTTGCCCTTCCGGAGTACTTTAGCACGTGCCTCAAGAATAGAGCACCCATGTGGGACGACAAAGTGACATCGATTGGCTAATTGAGCATGGCAACCACTGATTTATGTGCTTGGCATTGTGTTCCCGCAAACGATTAAATCTAGGTTTGAGAAGTTTCAAAGCTTCTAGCCTGCTCGTCGAATGACAAGTTAGTTTGCACATTATCATTCCTTCATCACATTGAATTATGGTCGGCGTGAAGCTTTTTAACCACAGGGGACCTGTTTGTCGGCCTGTCAAGGCAACATGGCAAGATCCCATTCCCCCCTCCCCCCGGCTACGAAGTCAATTAGACAAGCCCCACCTTTGGTGTCTGAGTCTAACTTCGCAACCCCCTCCCTACCCCGAAAAAAACCGAGTTTATTCGCGTTCTACTCCACCCCTCACCGGCACGCGAAAGTGGTCAGCTTTGAGTAAGTCGTGTGAGTGCGCGTTGCAGCCAGCACAAACAGTGCGTCCGCTGGTTAAGCAGTGAATTACCGCCTCCCCGTCCTACTCACGATGTTTGTACCTGGTTGCTAGGGCTGTCAAGGCTTTTGTACACTGGAGACGCGTTTGATGAGTCACCCCAATGCATTGGTACCTAGCGGTTAGCGCCCAGCAATCTGCTCAAGTGGACAGGCATCGCACACAGCCTAACACCACATTTACCTGGCCGACCCACGATGTCCACCTCTCACAGATGGAAGTCAGGTGATTTTGAATGAAGCCAACAACGCAACAGCCTTCAGTAACGAGGTGTCTTGATTAAAGTACGACTGGTCGAAGATGTTCAAGAAGAAGGTTCGTGGATAGAATATGCCGGTACACAGATGCAGAGGAAACAGTTGACATCGCTGCCAGTTGAACTAATCACACCACCGT